GAAAAAAAAGAATTGATGCTTTTGAGCTGCGGTGTTAGAGAATAGTGCTGAATATCCCATGAATTGTCAACAAAGGCCAAACATATATACTGGAGAAAGTGCAACCAGTGTACTCCTTGGAGGCAAAAATGGTGAAGTTTTGTCTCACACACTTTGGGCAAGTTGTTGTTAGGTGCCAGCAAGTCGAGTATGACGGATAGGGCCATGTGAACAACAGACCTGAATCCTGTCCTAACCTGTGCCATCCTCATCATCTCTGGTACACGTGAGTCCATTGCTGCAGTCACCATATCAATCCACCTCGTTGAGGGTCTTCCTCTCTTTTGCTGACTGTCTCCCTCTTTTTTTTTTGTCTCCCTCTTAAAGTATAATATTCCTTTCCAAGGGAAGACCCCTCCTAGCTACCTGCTCAAAACATGTGAGCCTCGCCTACCTTGCCTGTAAGGAGCACTCTGGGTGCAACTTTCCAAAAGCATCTTTTCTTTCAGCGATCCATGGGATAGTCAGTGCTCCTCTCCAACATCACGGGCCAAAGGCATCAATTCTGCCATCCTTATTCACTGTTCAGCTTTCAAATGTATAGCAAGTGATTGAAAACACCATGGGCTGAATTAGGTCTTCAAACTGATGTCATTACCCTTCAGTATTTTGGAGAGGTCCCTAATGGTAGACTTGCCCAAGAGATCTCCTGATCTCTTTCTTGACTGCTAGTACCCAGGGTGTTGACTGTAGATCCAAGGAACATGAAATCACTGACAGTTTCAAGCCTTTCTCCATCTATCATAATGTTAACTATTGGTAAGGACCTTTGTTTTCTTTCTTTTTTTGGTTGCAATTTTTATTTCTTTTAATTGAAATAAAATTTTTATTTTATACTGGTTTACTTACAAAGCTCTCATACATTGTTTTTTCACACCAGGTTTTTCTCATTTCCTTTACGCACCCCTCCCTCCACCCATCACATTGTGTGACCACACTACCCCCCCCAGGGCCTATCCTGACTCCTTTGCTCCCCCTTACCCCCCTTAGATCCTCATACACATTCTACAACAATGGTCTTATACAGTATTTGTCCTTATGGGACTGAGTTAGTTCACTCAACATAATGCTCTCCAGTCCCTCCCAAGTTAGATAGTGATTTACAAAATCATTGCTCCTGTGTGATGCATAGTATTCAATTGTGTGAATGTACCATAATTTCTCAATCCGTTCAATTGTGTTTGGATGTTTAGGTTGTTTCCATGTTCTTGCGATGGTGAATAATGCTGCTATGAAGATGGGTGTACAAGTCTTCATTTGTGCCTCAGTTCTCATTTTCTCAGGGTTTATTCCAAGCAGTGGAATTGCTGGGTCATATGGAATGTCTATCTTGGACCTTTGTATTCTTGATGTTGAGATGCACCCATATTGAAGGCTGTAGTCTTTGATCTTCTGCAGCAAGAATTTCATGTCTTCTTTCAGCAAGCATTACACAAGCTGAGTCTTCAATTCCAATGCCGCATTCTTCTTCAAAGAGTTCAGCTTCACAAATTATTTACTCAGCATCCAGATTGAATAGACGTAGGGAAAGGATACAACTCTGATGCACATCTTTCCTGATTTTAAACTGTTCAGTGTTCCCTGTTCCATTTGGACAATAGCTTTTTGGGTTACGATATAGACCCAACATGGTCTGAGCATGTTGTTAGGAGAGGTTTTTCTCTGGAAAAAGGCATCATGCTTGGAAAGGTGGAGGGTAGGTGAAAGAGAGAAAGACTCCCAACTAGATAGAGTGACACAGTGACTGCAGCAATGGGATCAAGTATGTCAGAGAAGATGAGGATGGCACAGAGTGGACAGCGTTCAGGACTGTTGTTCATAGGGTCAGTAAGAGTTGTACTTGACTTGATAGCACCTAACAATAACAACATGCCCCAGAGCAAGTAATTCCTCCTCAGACTCTCCTTTGACTCAAGCTTCTACTTGTCCATCAAAACTCTCTTAATGCATCCCCTCTTCTGGGAAGCCTTCCTTGACTTCAATTCACTCCCCAACCCCACCATCACCCCTGGTAATTATTTCCTTTTCTAAGCCAGGATCAGCTCCTTGTCTGCACTTCTCCCACCTCTCCAGGCACTCCTGGAAGCTTCGTCAGCATTCTTCAGGAAAGGCATTCTGTAACTTGGTTAAGTGTGCAGTGAAACTGAGCCTGGTAGGAAGGGTTCGGGAACTAGTGTCCTGCTCTGTCAATGGGCAGGCACACTGAACATGTGGTGTCTTTCTAAAAATATTGAGCCAGGAAAGAGTTGCCCACTCTTAGACTGGCTGCCCTCACCCGCTCCTTACCGTGTTAGAGATGGACTCGGGGCTGCTGGGGAAGAGTTCATTATGCCCCAGGGAGCTGGCAGACGCCACCCTCTGAGGCAACACGCAGAAAGGAGACCTTTGAGAATCTGAAGCAAGTGTGGGGAGCCCCAGCCCAAAGCGTAGGAAGACTTTATGTTCCTTGCAGGGACCTGCCTAGTGAAAGGCAGCAGATTAAGTAGTGGGACGTTCTCAAAATTGTAGTCCTACTTAACAGAGATGACATTTAGCTTGCAGGGAATTCAACACTGTCGTGAAATATAGTAATGGACTAAGACCAGGAAGAAAATACACGTTTTCATGAATAATTCCCCATCCTCTCTCCTCTAAATTATTTCTTTTTTAACATCCTAGTGGGTAAGCCTCATCTCTTACATACTTTGGGCGTAATGCCAGGAGGGAGTGGTCCTTGGAAAAGGACATCATGCTTGGAAGGGTGGAGGGGCCGTGCAGGAGAGGAAGACTCGGATGAGATGGATTGACACAGTGACTGGGGTGACGAGGGTAGGTATGTCAGAGACAGTGAGATCAGCTCAGGACAGAGCAGGGTTTAGAGCTGTTGTACACAGGGTCGCTATGGGTCGTAGTCAACTCAGCGGCACGTAACAACAGTGGGCAAAGCAAAAAGGGAAACCCATTTTTTATTATTATACACTTTGCTTTGTTAGTGAAGAGAAAAGGAGCTTTCCATCGTAGCTTCCCCTCAGCTGCATTCCTCCAGCAGCCATGTGGGGTGTCAGGAAAGTGAGGCTCAGCGGGGTGATGAACTTGCCTGGAACCACCCAGCGTCAGAGCCAGAGCTTGTCTGCTGGGGCAGATGGCAGGCACGCTGGCATGGGCTAGAGCCAAGAGCTTTAAATGACTGGGGGATTTCTTGTGTTCTCCATGGAGTTTGGGGAAATGTCCACAGATCTTGAAGAAGGAGACTATGAAGGAGACAGGGCTGATGACTAAGGGCAGAGTGATAGATGTTTAGGAAGAGGTCCATGTGACCTAGGGGAACCTCAGTTTCCTCATCTGTAAAATGGGGCCTACAGTATTTGTTTTATAGGCAGATTGGGAAGTGTGACAAATCACGCTGTAACTCGACCCCTAGGAACCTGACAGGACAGGGTCCTGCTCTGTACAGCTTTACGGACGCAGATTGCCACATCTTGTCCTCTTCAAGAGCTCGTGGCATAGTCCCAAGGGAGTTGCATTACTAAAGCCAAGCTTTCTTCAGAAACCCACTGGAGGGTCAGTTATGAGTCAGTTCTAACTCAATAGCAGTAAGAGTGAATGAGAGAATGCCACCTGAGAGAAGCTGGTGGGTTTGAACCATCGACCTTGATGCTAGCGGGAGAGTACTTAACTACTGGACCACAAGGGCACTTGAGAAGCAGGACGTAAGGAGTCAGGAGTATGTCTGTCCTCATGTGTCATTAGCTGCTGCTCCAACTCATAGATCCAGCAGAAGAACCGCCGTCTGGACCCGAGACCCCAGCCCTCCTCACTAACTGTCCTGGAGACCTTAGCTGCAGCCACGCAGTCAGCCCAGCCTGTGAAAGATCTGTTGGTTTTTTTTCTTTGTTGATCTTCCTCTTTACCAAATATCATGTTCTCCAGGGACCGGTCTCGCCTGATAACACCCAAGTACAACACGAAATCTCATCATTCTCATCGTTTAACACATGGGAACTCTGACGCCCAGAGAGGAACCAGGGGCGACTCAACACCATGGGATGGGTTCAGGATGAAGTCCAGGACCAGCGGCCCCCAGTCTGGTTCTTTCTCCTCCATCTTCCTCCATCTCCGGGGTCTGACCTCCTCAGGCCTTGGTCAGTTCTCCTATGGCTCTTGGGAAGAAATAGTGGGAAGGGAAAGATTCTGGCCGCGTTCCAGCCCCTGCTGACAGTTGGGGCTGCTTCCCAGGAGGACAGATGTTTCGCCAACTGGTAAATGCACGTGCTTCTCCCTGGCTTGAGGAGGAGGTGGGCGCTGAAGGGGAGATGCCAGCTGGTTGGGCAGAAAGAACCGCAGCCACACCTGAGAGATTTAAATAGCCACCGCCTTCTCTGGCACAGGCGGGAGGGAGGCATCTGGGCAGGGAACAGAGGAGCCCGTTCAGAACCTGCCACAGTCCCGGGATGACTGCCCGGCTCCGTCTCCTCCCACTCCTCAGAAGGGGGGCCCTAACTCCTGCTCCACAGGGGGGTCTGTTGGGACTGGACTGAGAGAACCAGCATAACACACCTGACCCACACCTGCCACCAGGAGCCTCTCAAGCCTTGACCACTGCTTTACCCCAATCTCCTGCCAGGGTAGGAGTCTCCATTGCAGCAACCACCTCCTGTCCCCCCATCTGTCATGATAGCGTGCTCATCCTCTCCCATGGGTACCCACAGAGTAAAGGTTTAATTTGACAGGCTCTGTCATCAGACCATGTGCTGGAATCCAGGCTCCATTACTTAGTGGGCTGTGTGACCTTGGGCAAATTATTACCCTCTCTGTGCCTGGAGAATCAGAATGCTGCTTCGTGCCATGCCTCTCACACTTTCATGTGTACACCAATCATGTGCAATGTTGGGTCTCTGCAGATTCTGATTCAGCAGGTCTGTGGCCACACAACACTTGGAGGACCCCTCTTCCACCTTCCAGAAGCCCCTCACTGCGCCCGGATGTGCAGTCCTGGGACTCTGTGGGAGGCCTGCATGCTCCCGACCAAGAAGGTGAAGATGAGGGAGGGCCTTGGATATCCTTTTATTTCTTCTTAGCTTTTTGTTGTGATTTAAATGAATGCTTCCATTGTAAATAGACTTTCCATTCAACAATTCACACACACTTTGATTCATAAGATTGCTTGGTGTCCACAATATTAACAGCATTCACTTTCCCCACTTCCTCCTGTGTTTCCCATTTCCTCTCATCCTTTTCTGTCTGTCCTGCCTCGTGGGCTTTATCCCTGGGCAAAGCTGCTGCTCTTTCGATTTTATTTGGTTCTTAGCTCTAAAGGGTGCGTGCCTCCTGGTGTGTTCACCTGTCTATCATGTGGTGCCAAGTGGAGCCAAGGGAGTAAGTTCAGTTCCAGGGTGGAAGGCTGGCTGAAGGTCACAGTCACTATCAGATCAATAAGCTCAGTTTTTTCCCCCCTAATGATTTGAATTTTGTCCCACACCCCCCTCCTACTCTGACCAGGACTCCTCATTGAGATCCCCTTCAGAGGCGTCAGCAGAGGACACTTGTTCATACCCAGACGCAAGGATATTTTACAAATGAAACATCCGAGGCCAAAGGAAAGGCGGTCGGCCAGACTTAAACCTGCGAAGTTAGTACTGTCCCCACCCCTTCCCTCAACAGGGTCAGGCAAGGACAAGTGAACTGACTTAGTTAACAGCGCAGGAGGCGCCAGGCCCGGCTCTTCACCCTGGCCCACCCCCTCCAAAGAGGAGGGGGTTAGGACCCCAGGATGACAGGACATTTATGGGGCGCTCAGGATCTGCCAGGATTCATACCAGATCCTGACAGGCAGGAGCCCACTATTCGGGCTCACTGGTCCGGTGTACAGATCGGTGAACTGAGACACAGACAGGCAGGGTCGCCTGCGAGAAGATCCGCCTTCCCGAGCAGGCGAGGCAAAGGCCTGAGTTCCCGGGTCGGAGGTGCAGGGTCACCGGCACTGCGGGGCGCGGCGGGGACCCACACAGTAGCCGCGCAGAGGACAGACCGCGGCGCCCCGGCCGGAAGCCCCTCGGCCTGGTCGGGCCGCCCCGCCCCGGGAACGGGAGGCGCCGGGATGGGCTGGAGGCGGGGTCTCCGCCGAGCTTCCTGGCTCCCCCTCCCCGCGGCCGCGGCCACGTCACCGCCCGCCCAGAGCGCACCGGCGGGGCGGCGGGAGCGCAGC